GCGAGCCCTCCTCCTGCCCCCCGGAGCGCCCATAGCCGGGGCAGGAGGCAGCGAAGTCCAGGAGCTGGTCCGTCCCTTCGCCCGCGATGGGAAGAGGTGCGGGGCGGGGATGCCCAGGAAGCAGGGGGAGTCCCGGGCCAGGCGTGGGGGTGTGGGGCTCCCGGACGCCCTGCGGGTTTCCTTCGGCTTGGTGGTGCCCGCGCCCTGAGACACCCGCTCCCTCCGCGCGAAGTCGAGCCCGGGGCGGCGGCTGCGCCCGCGGGGAGCATCTCGGCCCCCTTGTGGGGGTTGTTCAGTCGGGCCCCCGGGGCCCCCTGTCCCGAGAGCCAGTGTCCGGGCGCCCCGCAGGTGCGACAGCGAGTGGGGCGCCCGTTTAGGGGAGCACCGGCAGCTGGAGGGGGCGGGCGGACAGGGCCAGGCCCAGCTGGGCCAAGTTGGGGTTCAGCGACCCGGAACCCAGTCAGATAGAGGCCTGGGTTCCCGCAGGTGAGTTTGCTGCGCTTTGTGGGCCTCGCCGGCTGGGGAGGGGATCCACCGTAGGTACACAGTTTTGTTTTGTTTTTAAATCTGTTTTATCAGAAGAAAGGCAGGTGAGGAGGGGGAGGTTTTCTTTGGGAGGTGCGTAAGACAACCACCATCAATAATTGTCTTCCAGGCAGAGAACCTAGTCAGCAGAAGACATCCAGGCACTTGAGGACTCAGTACTGAATTATTGAACTGGAGTTTGAAGATTGAATAATTCAATATTGAATTATTGTACTCAATAATTTAGAAATATAGAATCCATATTTCTAAAAATTTGGTTTGCATGGAAATGATAGGAAGCTAGGAATGATAGGTGCTGTGAAAAATGTCCGTCTCTGAAGAAGTTTCTAGTAGTTTGTCCAATTTTTAAAAGTTATGCTTTTATTATACATATTCTAAGCTGAAGCCCTTTTGACTCATGTTTTCATGAATTTGGTGTTTTAAAAAATGCTTCTTAAGGCCAAGTGTGGTGGCACAGGCCTGTAAATCAGAGGCGGAGGCTGGAGGACCTCAAGTTCCAGCCCACCGTGAGCAACTTAGACTGTCCCCCAAGATAACAAAAGGACTGGGGCGGTAGCTCAGTGTGAAGGGTCCACTTCTACCCCCAGTACTGGAAAAAAAATGAAAACAAAAATCTGGGATTATTTAAATGCATATTGATAGGTCTATATATATATTTACAGAAGCACACCCCAGTTTTTATTACATTAAAATCAAAGTTATGCATTTAAAATTAGGACGAATTCTGCATCTAAAAATTGGACATGAAATAAAATGATTATATTTGCCTTATTTGAAGAATTAAGTGGGAAAATGTTCAATGTAACTGGTTTAATTACAGTTTAGTATTTCTAAAGTTGTATTTAAAAGCGCAACCATTTTAGTTCTTACAATTTTACTTAAATTCTTTCTTCAAGCGTAACTATGCACCAATAGCGGAAATTCAGAGATTACAGTAGATGCCTCCAAATGGCAACATGTATCTCAGTTACATTATTAAGGTGAAAAACTTAAAAATTTTAATAATGGCTTTTTTTTTTTTTTTTGGTGGAACCGGGGATTGAACTCTGGTCCTTGTGCTTGCCAGGGAAGCGCTTATTCCACTGAGCCATCTCCCCGGCCCCAATAATGGCTTTTATAGCTTGTTTTCATTTCCTCTTTAGCCTTTTATTTTATTTTATTTTTTCTAAGACAAGAGTCTTGCTAGGTATTCAGCCTGTCCTTGAATTTACTGTGTAGCCCAAGCTGGCCTTGAACTCATGGCAATCCTCACCATACCTGGCGTATTTATTTATCTTGATGCTTATTTATAAGATTGAATTCTGGGCCTCATGCATGCTAATCTTGTCCTTTATCACAAAGCTACAGACTGCAAAGAATTCCCTAATTCCTACTAAATTACCTAATAACTTTGCTCTGGGCTGTTGAAAACATTAGCAGATGCTGATAATTATTGGTGTAAATTTTTGTTTTTGTTTTTCAGATCTCAACAATGGCAGCCCCTAGAGGGAGGTCAAAGAAAAGAGCAGCGTTTGATCTAACTCCAGATAGCCTTCCTTTGAGGAGCTCCGGTAGGCAGGTAGTATGCATTTGTTCACTCAACAAACCTTTTTTGAGTATGTAGAAACATTACAATGGGGCCTGAAGAGTAAGAGTGGGAAAGTTATAACTGCAGGCCTCAAATCATTCCTTGAGAAATCTCAGTGTTTCATAACACTGCATAATACAGTGATTGGATATAGAAAACAGTCGCCTGTCTGGCCAGGAGGGCTTTTGTGAAGGTAAAGGCCTGGTGTGAATCAGCACAGGGCCATCCGGGAATTGTGGCAGCTCCGAAGCTTCCAGGGGAGAGGCTTGGGCTGGGTCCTGCTGAGCTTGTAAGGCGTTCAGAGCAACTTGGACCTCAGCGCAGTGGCTTGAGTGCAGCTCGAGGTTCACCTGCAAGGCTTTGCTCCTTCTTTCCTTGGGTACAGTGTGTGTCTGTTTAACAGAAAAACTCAACAACTTAACTTTTTCTAGTTTTTTATATCTGTATGCTAAAAGGATTCTAAGAAAAGAAAGAAGAAATTCTTAATTTGAGAGTGACCTTTGTGTATTCTGCTGTCACTCTTTCCTCAAAAGATTCACATGGGCTGGCGAGATAGCTCAGTGGACTAAGCACCTACTTAGGCAAGTGCAGGGACTAGGGTTCAATCACCGGCTCCACACATGGTGTACCAGCTCTGCCCACGATGCGCTGACCCAGCCACTGCCTGCGAGTCCCTGTATCAATTGCATGCAAAAAAAAAAAAAAAAAGATCCACATGGATTTACGTTGTTAGGGTCCCGTGGCTGGATCTCTGGCATGGTAGTGAATTATTTTCAGTGTGCAGTTGTACAGAACTTGCTGGGTTGGTCAGCTCCTGTTCTGCCAAAGTGTTGTTGCCCTTCATAGTTAAAGTTTCTGACAGCCTGGTGTGATGCTTATAATCCCAGTGCTCTGGGAGGCTGAGCCAGGAAGAGTTCAAGTTGAAACTCAGCCTGGGCAATTGAGCAGGATCCTGTGTAAATTAATGGGCAGATGGAGAGACTGGGAATGTAGCTTAATGAAAAGGCCTTGGGCTCCATACCCCGGAATGCAAAAACAAAATAAAATGAAAAAACTCATAGCACATCATTTAACTAAACCTCCCACTGCTATCACCTCTGTCAGTCCCAGGAAATCTTAACCTCAGCTGCTTCTTCCACAGGCAAAGAAGAAAGTAACAGAGACTGTGGACGAGGATGAAGATGGTGTGTCTGAGAAGAAATACCGGAAATGTGAAAAGGCGGGCTGTACAGCAGCGTGTCCTGTGTGCTTCGCAAGTGCTTCAGAAAGGTCTGCTTAGCAGGGCGAGGGTTGGCCTTGCATTCTGTCTGTGAGGACATCTTCAGTGGGAAAATCATCCATGAGCACGATTCCCCTAAAGGAAGAAGTAGAAGCTGTCCGTTGTCTAGTAGTAGGGATGTTGCTCCCACATCCGCTGCTCACTGCAGCCTCCTCCACAGCCCATTACACACCTGCTCTGTGGGAGAGACCTCACCCGTAGCAGCTCTGCTCATGACCTCGTCCAGTGCAGCCGCCTTCTGCTGCAGCTTCCGCGGGGCCGGCTGGCCAGGGGACAGATGCAGGGTGGCAAAGTGGCCGAAAGGCTCCGTGCTCCATAGAGACCAGCGCTGTGTACTTTTTACTGTAACTCTTTCTCCCTCATGTAAGATGACTTTTTTCCTGTATCCATACACAGGTCTCAGAGAAACTATTTAACTGCAGTCTTACCATTTTTGTTGGGTAGAACAAATGTGGCCTTTTTAACTTGCACAGAAAAATCACCAACATAGGCTTAAGATTTAGTAAAACTTGGGAAACAAAACCTGTTGTTTTTCAGCACAGAGAGATGGTGGTGAAGGTGCTGTTCACACTAGTGTGCTTTTTCATTCCCTTGAGGTCTTACCAGCTGTTTGACAGGTTATGCCGCTCTGTTGCCTGTTTGGTGTTCAGAGTGCAGGAGCCAGACCTGCCTCCCCGCCCCCACTGGGCCAGTGTTCCAGCTAAAATCTTCTGTTGGGTCAGGGAGTTAGCTCGGTGGAATAAATGTTTGCCTGACAAGCATAAAGTCCTGAGTTCAATCCATGGTACCACAAAAAAAAAAAAAAATCTTCTGTCCTTCACCCACATGTGACTTGGAGCAAGTGCAGTGACATCATTGCTGCCTGTCATGAAACACCATCAAGCTCCAGAGAGTCTTGCAAGACTCCTAAGACGCAGGCAACCAGCTAGGTTAAGTACCGCGCTCTGTCTCCCTGTGTCCTCAAGGTGTATTACATGTGCTTTAAATCCAAGATGGTGTGGATGTTAGCACGATGCCATACTTGAAGTGGTAACTTCCACACCTGCCCTCACATGATGGGCCTAAGTCAGAGTGTCATGAAAATTTGTATGTAGCATGACCTTTGGCTATGCCTATAAGGTACATATGAAACAAGTGAATTTTGTATTTGGGCTTTGGCTTCTCCAAAATAACCCATTACTTATATGCAGACATTCCAAAATCCAAGAGTCTGAAGTCCAAAACACTTGTGATCTCAAACATTTTAGATAAAGAGATACTCAGCCTGTGTTTCCTGGCATTCATGTGTCTGGGTTTCCCCTGAGGGAGTGCTGAGTACAGATGTGGAAAATGGGCTCATAGGATATGCTGCGAATGTTTTTTGAATGGAAAGAAATGTTTATTCATTATCAAAGCTGCATGTTTTTGGTCTTTTCAGATGTGCCAAAAATGGCTACACATCCCGGTGGTATCACCTCTCCTGTGGGGAACATTTCTGCAACGAATGTTTTGATCATTACTACAGAAGGTTCGTTGGGTAGTGTTGGGGTGTGCCTGGTGGGGCACGGTGGGGTGAGAGGCTCAGGCTGTTCTCCAGGCTTTCTGGATGACTGCTGTCTGAGCCGTGTCTACTGTCGCTGTAACTCCGACCATGACCTGGAGGCCGAGGCTCATGTATGTGCGTGCTTCTGTCACACACACGCAGGGTTTGAACGCCCTCATGGGATGGTTTACTCTCTGTCATCTGCAAGTTCTGGGAGATCTTGGAGCTGCTGCAATAGTGATAGGTGATGGGGGTGCAGAAGTAGGGAACAGGGGTGCTGACAGTCAACTAGTGGTCTTTTCGTAGCAGCTTTGTTTTTTCCTTTTCTTAATTGTCTTGATTGATGGCTTAGAAGTTTTATTGATCTTTTCAAAGAAGCAGATTTTGGTTTTAGTTTTATTGTCAATTTCATTACACTCTTAATTTTTATTTACTCTCTTCTGCTTGCACCAGATTTCTCCTTTAGTTCCTTAAGTTGGAAGTTTATCGATTTTTTATCTTCTCTGAATAAATACATTTAATATTTAAATTTAAAATTAAATTTCTCTCTTAGTACTGATTTAGCTGTGCAGTATTCCACGAATTTTGATTTTATTATCGTTTTCTTTTTGTACGTGATTTTTTTTTTAAATTTTATGTGTGTGTGTGTGTGTGTGTGTGTGTGTGGCCAGCTCAGCCCACCAGGGGGCGGCCCTGGCTGGCATGTGGTGCTGGGGGATTGAACTGTGGTCCCCTTTGCTTTGCTAAGCTTGTTCTAAGTAGGTGCTTTAGACCACTGAGCCATCTCGCCAGCCCCATATGTACGTGATATTTTTTAATCTCCCTTGAGTCTTTCTCTTTGATCCAAGGTAATTGGAAAGTAAGTTTAATTAATTAATTAATTTATTTATTTATTTATTTTGTGTGTGTGTGTGTGTGTGTGTGTGGCCAGTTCAGTCCACCAGGGGGCGGTGCTGGCTGGCATGTGGTGCTGGGGATTGAACCGAGGTCCCTGTGCTTTTGCTTAGCTTAGCTTGTTCTAAGTAGGTGCTTTAGACCACTAAGCCATCTCACCAGCCCAGGAAGTTTAATTTATAACTGCCTTTTTTTTTTTTTTTTTGGCGGAACTGGGGATTGAACTCAGGCCCTTATGCTTGCCAGGGAAGCGCTTATTTTACTGAGCTATCTCCCTGGCCCCTATAACTACCTTTTATGTATTTCTGTTTTTCATGTTTTAAGGGATTAGTTTTATAGTTGGATTAAAATATATCAGCTTACTGTTTTCTGTATGGTACAGTTTTTTTCTATCTTTGTTCCTCTCATTTTAGTTGAGCATTTTATAATTGTAATTATATTATCTATTGATGGAATTTTTAATGGCTGCCTGAGGATTAACAATGTGCATTCAAAAATATTCTAACCCCCCCTTCAAATAATACTCTATCTTTCCTGTCAGTTTAAGGCACCAGAACTGGCAAGAGCACCCAACTCTCTCCTCTGATAGCCTGCTGTGTGTAGGTCATAGTAACTAAACTTCACGCCTTGTAACAAGGCTGGCGAATTCCTTCGTGTAAGACTTTACCAACCTGCCTCATGTTTTGAAAACCGGATTAATTTACAGTTTGATACATTTGTTTGCATTGCTTTCAGCCATAAAGATGGATACGACAAATATGTTACATGGAAAAAGATTTGGACCAGCAATGGCAAAACAGAACCCAGCCCCAAAGCTTTTATGGCTGACCAGCAGCTCCCTTACTGGGTAAGAAACTGATGCTGCATTCTTCTGTGAGGCATTTGTGAAGCTAACAGCAAGAGGAATGGGGGAAGATACTGGTTTGGGGAAAGCCTTTCTTTTTTTTTACATTTACTGTTCTTTTTATAATTGTTAAAGCAAGTAACATTAAAAATTTTTTTTGTAGAAAGTTTAGTTAATCTAGTCCTTGGAACATGTCTAATCCCAGCACTGAGGAGGCTGAGACAGGAGGATCACTGTGAGTTTGAGGCCACCCTAGACTACATAGTGAGACCCTATCTCAAAAAAAAATAGGAAAAAACAGCAGACACCAGGAGCTAGTAATTGTCATTGCTGAGCATGATGACATGCACTTTTAGCCTTTTTTTTCTGTTTATATTTTTGTGTTGATTGAAACAATTTTGTGTTTCATATACAAATTTTTACTATTTAAAAATATCTAGACTATCATTTTTAATAATTTTTTAAATCTAATTTCATATTGTCATTTTTTCATTTAGGTATTCTTAGAAAATATATTTTGGTGGTTACATATGTCATAAATATAACACTAAATGATTTGCTGATTTTTTTAATATAACTGGTTCTGAGCTGTGTTGTGCACACTTAAGTTTTTTAAATTGAAATAAAATTCACAAAACATAACGTTAGCCATCTTATTTTGTGCTTCTTTATGTAAGTATGTAGCACAAGCTCTATTGTTGGGCTACATCCTGACACCTAGAAGTAACAAATGTGAAATGTACAATTCCTTGTCATTTACCGTATTTGCAGTGTCACTCAACACTGCCACTGAATTCCAAAGCACACACCATGTAGCAGTCGCGTACTTTCCAGTCCGTGGTGGCTGCTGATCTGCCCTCTGTCTGTGGATTTTATGAATTTTGGATGTTTCGTGTAAATGGAATCATGAGACAGGCATGACAGTGGTCACCTGTGATCTCAGCACTTGTGAGGTTGAGGCAGGAGGACCACCATAAATGTGAGGTCAGCCTGGGCTAGGGAGAGTTAAGGGCCAGCCTGAACTATATAGGGAGATTCTCAAAAAAAATAAGAGAGAAACATTTTTTTAAAAAACCAAAATAAGTGAAGTCATGTCACCGGCTTTGTGGTTTTTTCCACTTAGTGTAGTGTTTTTGAGGTTCATTCATGTTGTAATTCACTATTTCCCTGGGTATTTTTTATAGGTAAGTAATATTCCACTGGAATGCTATGCCTCCTTTTGTTTATCCATTCCTCTATTTGAGTTATTTCAACCTTTTACCTATTGCGAATAGCGTTGCTATGAACATTCATTGTGAATACTTGTTTGAATGCCTGTTTACAGTTCTTTTCATGCTACCTATGGAGGAATGGAATAGCTGGGTCACATGGTGATTATGTCTAGCCTTTGAAGACCTCCACATGCTTTTTCCAAGGCCACTGTGTCATTTCCATTCCTATGTGCAGCGTGGGAGGGTTGAGATTTCTCCACGTCCTCCTCAGTTCTTGCTTTTGTTTTCTATACGGCCGTCAGAGTGGGTTCCAAGCGGCCTTGCTTGGTTTTGCTTCTCATTTCCTTAACGATGGATGAGTACACCTTTCTCTGTGCTTGTCGGTCATTTGGCTGTCCTCTTTGGAGAAGTTTCTGTTTAACTCTTTTGCTCATTTTTAGTTATTTGCCTTTTTGTTTTGTATTGTAAGAATTCTTTATATGTCCTAGGCACTGACCCTTTAACAGATCTGTGAATTTGCAAATATTTTTTCTGTAAGTTGGCTCTTCACGTTGCTAGTGCCCTTTGATGCATGAAGGTTTTTACTTTTGATAAGAGTTAATTTTAGCTGTTTTTTCCTCCCTCGGTCCTGCTTTTGTAATAATAACTAAGAATCCTCTACTGAATCCAAGGTCATAAAAACATTCTTGTGTTCCTTCTAAGAGTTTTATTATTTTAGCTGTTACATTTAGGCATTTAATCCATTTTGGGCTAATTTTTATATTTGTGTGAAGTTGATGTGATTTCATCCTACATAAGGATATTCACGCTTGTTAAAAATAAACCTTTAAATTTTGAGTGTACAGAAACTTGTACAGAAAGTTGCAAAGATAGCAGAGTTCACATATCTCCTTCATATAGTGTCCCCTAATTAATTACCCACACATGCCACAATTATGTGTCCCACTGAGACATTAATAGATGGCAGAGAGAGAGATGAAAGTGGCAGCTCCGGTCAGCTGACCTGCTCATGTGCACTTACTTCCCTCATAGGTGCAGTGCACAAAGCCCGAGTGTCGGAAATGGAGGCAGCTTACCAAGGAGATCCAGCTGACTCCACGCATAGCGAAGACTTACCGCTGTGGCATGAAACCAAACACTATGAAGGTATGCTTTCCTCTGCGTTCCTGTAGGCTCACTGATACGCTGCTGTAGTGGTCAGCACGCAGTAACGGTGTATTTTTTTCACTTCAGTGTATTAATCATCGTAGCAGTGTCGTGTGGGTCTGCCTGGAACAGGACCCTGGGCACAGTGCTCAGACTACTTGTGGGTTTACTTTTCTCACATATAAACAACTTGGAAATAGACCGTTGTGGGTACTTTAGCTCCCCAAAGACATCTCTTTGTAGTGTTCAGTCCAGCCATCTAATGTAGTTAATCTTCCATCTTCCGGTTCACCAGGTGGTTGTTGTATCACCAGCTACTGTGTGCAGACTAGAAGAGAGTGAAAAGACAGAGGGCAAAGAGTGTGCCAGCCAGCCTGTCCTTCTTTTAATGCAAAATGAAGAGCTTTCTTTCAGATTTCTGTTTTTGCTTCATTAAGTAGAACAGAATCATATAGCTACTGTGACAGTAGGCAGGGCAAGGGAAGGAAATATTGTATAACTGAGCATGTTGCAACACCCCAAAAGAGCACATCTTGTTAGTAAGAAAGAAGAGATGAGGGCCGGGGAGAAAGCTCAGTAGAATAAGCGCCTGCCTGGCAAGCATTCAATCCTCGGTACTGCACAAAAAAAAAAAAAAAGGAAAAGAAAAAAAAGAGATGAACAGAGGCATTTGGCTGTTGGGAATTAGCTAGAGTGGGTGTAATGTGCTGCTTTTGAAATTTGGCATTAGTATTTAAAAATATGTAATTAAGGACTGGCGAGATAGCTCAGTAGTCTAAGCACCTGCTTATGCAAGCACAGGGACCTGGGTTCAATCCCTGGTCCACATGCTGTGCCAGCCCCGCCCCTGAGGTGCACTGAGCTGTATACTAAGAATGGGTGTGGTGGCACATGCCTGTAATGCCAGTGCTGGGGGGTTGAAAACAGGAAGATCACTATGAATCTGAGCTGCATAGTGAGACCCTGTACTACATACATAAATAAAAATAAATAAAAATAAAAAAGTTAAGCTATATCTTAGAAGCATTAATCTACATTAATGTCACTCATATTTTCATTATATTAAAAACATTCGAAGTCAAATCCCAGAAGAAAAATACTCCATTTTTTAAAATTGAGAAGTAATATACATATCATAAAATTCACCTACATTATACAATCCCATGATTTATAGTATATTTATAAAGATGTATAATCATTATCAGAAAAACACTTGCTTAGTTCAAATATTTCATCTTACAGGACAAATAGAAAATTTTATAAAGTATATGATCAAATTTTTAAAAATTTGGAGTTTTAAATGAAGCAACACATAATTTTTATGAAAAATAAACGTGGGGCCTGGGAGTACAGCTAAGTGCTAGCACCCTTGCCAAGCATGCTTAAAGCCCTGGGCTCAATCCCCACAGTGGAAAAAAAGAAAAAATTGCAGAATGAGGATAAGAATTTGAACACAGGTAAATTTTAGCTGAAATGTTACATTAGTATGATCTTAAGATTTAAGAAATTTGTGTGTATTTATAAATACACATATGTGTATATTATGCTAATAAAAATTGAAAGTTCTAACCGTTCTTCCTTCCTGTTTTAATAAGTCATTTCTTAATGATTCATTTGGTCCACAAAACTTGTTTTTCCCTCGTTCTGGGGACTGAACCCAGGCATTTCTCAGGCTAGGAAAGAAGCTTAGCCCCAGCATACCTCCCAGTCCCATGCTAGAAGTGCCTTTAATTACGTACTCATGATAGAGATCAACAGCCCAGCTGCTTTGTAAACACATAAGGACCTAGGATTCAGGGTGATCGTCACACCAGTGCCTTTCTTACATTGAGTGATAGTATTTTTAATAGCTGCAGAATCGCATCTCTCTAGTTTTGAGGTGTGATTCATAGAGCCGTTACATGCAGGGATCGTTCGGGCCTTTCCTTGAGCTGTGGGAAATGTCCACGGTGTGTGCGGTGTTCCCAACCCTGACAAGGACCAGTTCCAGTTCCTTTTTCCCCTCCTCCCAGAGGCAGCTGCTATTCTGATTTCTATCCCTGTAGATTCATTTTCTATGTCCTTGCGCTTCATAAAAGTGGAATTGGCTGATACATGGTCTTTAATGTTTGGTTTCTTTCTGAGTAAAACTATTTTGAGATTCATCCGTATCGCTCCCTTACATGTGTATATGTCTGGGGGGGGGGGCACGCACACACGCATGTGCGCACGCGCACTCGTGACAAATTGTTCAACCATTCTCATGTTAAAGGACCTTTGTGGTATTCTACATTGGTATATGAATGAAATTGTAGTCTACATTCTGCGCAAGTTTTTGTGGACCTCTATTTTAATTTCTGTTTTTGAGACTGCAGCATGTTGTGTAGCCCAGACTGGCCTCGAACTTAATCCTTCTGCCTCAGCCTCCTGAGTGCTGGGGTGTGCACCACTATGGCCAGTTCCTTTGTTTTCATTTCTTAGGGCTTTTTTTTTTTTTTTTTGCAGAACTGGGGATTGAACTCAGGCCCTTGCACTTGCCAGGGAAGCACTTATCCACTGAGCCATCTCCCTGACCCTGTTTTCATTTCTTAGCAGTAAATATATAGGAGTGTGGGCTGTTGAGATGGCTCAGTGGTCTAAAGCACCTACTTAGAACAAGCTTAACAAAGCACAGGGACCGCGGTTCAATCCCCCAGCACCACATGCCAGCCAGCCCTGCCCCCTGGTGGTGTGAGCTGGCCACACACACACACACAAATAAATAAAAATTAAAAAAAAAAAAAATATATATATATAGGAGTGTAGTTGCTTAGTTGTGAGTAAATTTATATTTGATGTTTAAGAAACTGTCAGGTGGTACTGTATGATTGTTGTGTCATACTGCAACCTTAGGTGGTGCCGTCTTTTGCAGCTATGTTTTGTGTTGGCATAGTGGGTATGCTCAAACATCCGCAGTATGAGTTTCTGGTTTCCTGGTTAATAATGTGTGGAGCATCTTTTCATGTTTTTTGAGCATTTGCAGCTCTTCTTTGAAAATGATATGTCCATTTTAAAAAATTGAGTCTGTTATTGATAAGTAGGAGTTCTTTATATAAATACAAATGTGTATGTATGTTTTGTATATTGTCTCAGTGCACATATAGCTTTTCCATTTTCTTAGTTTTTTTTCTTTTTTTGTAGTTGGTCTTTTGGTGAGCAAGAATTTTTAGGGTTTTTTTTGGTGGTACCAGGGATCGAACTCAGAATCTTGTGTTTGCCAGGCAAGTGCTTATTCCACTGAGCTATCTCCCCAGCTCCCGAGAATTTTTGGTTTTAAAGCCCAAATTATCCCGTTTTTTATTTATGCTTAGAAGTTTTCTCAGAAGCTGTTGACTATTTTGCACCTTCCAGACAGATTGTATATTTTCTTTGAGGCACAGTATAGTTTTAGCCTTTACTTTTAGGTCAGTAATCTTACCTTGAGTTAATATAGTATTTGGCTTTTTTTTTTTTTTTTTTTTTTTTTTTTTGATGGAACTGGGGATTGAACTCAGGCCCTTGTGCTTGCCAGGGAAGCGCTTATTCCACTGAGCCATCTCCCCTGGCCCAGTATTTGGCTTTTGATGTGAAGAAATTTAGTTTTTTTCCATGTAGACATTTATTTGTTTAATATTATTTGTTGAAAAGATTATTTTTTTCTTCATTAATCTTTTACTGTTATTAAAAAAAAAATCAGTGGACTGCACATATAGGTCTGTTCCTGAATCTTACCCAAAGGTATTATTATTATACTGGCCTTAACCCAAAGCCTCATTGTCATGCTTGCTGTATCATTATTAAATCTGAAAATAAAGTAGTATAAGTTCTTTCAGTGTTGTTTTTAGTTTCAAGACTGCTTTGACTATTCTGTGTTTCCATGTCCATTTTTTTACCAGCTTGCCAGAATCTACTTAGACACCCTTGAGATGCTGGTTGGAATGTACTATGGAGTTCATCTGTAGGAGATCTGACATGCCTGCATTTTTAGTCTTCTAACCTGGTGTCACCAAGTGACATCTGATGGGCCAAGTCTGACCCTGCTCTGGTTTTGTAAATAAAGTGTTACAGGAACACAGCCATGCTCAGTAGCAGTGTCGCTAGTGGCTTGCATGTGACAGTGGCACAGTAGTTGTGACAGAGACCTTCGGGTATACAGGGTGTAAGACACTTAGCTTTCAGAAAACGTTTCCCAGGATTCTTCAATATCTTCCAACTGTGTTTTCTGGTTTCCACTGAGGTTGTCATTTTGTATTTTATTATATTTGTTTCTAGATGTTTGTTCTGTAATTGTAAGTACAGTTTTATTTAATGTCAAGTTGTTTGTTGCTGTTGTAGAAAAATGTACTTTACTCCTGTACACTTATACCCAGGGACTATTTTAACTTCATTTGCTAAGTTTCATAAATCTTATAGATTCCTTTGGGTTGTCTACAAACCAGTCATATCAACTGTGAGTGAAGACTGCTTTTTCACGGGGCTTGGCAGGTTAGCTCAGTTGTTTAAAGTGCCTGTTTGGGCAAACTCAGCTAGGCTCAGGGGACGGCAGTTCGATCCCCAGCTCCACAGACCACACTAGATGAGTGCTTAAGGGAGCCTGAACCAACAACAAAAAAAAACACCTTCTCAAGACTGCTTTCTTTTTTTTTTTTTTTTCTTTCTCTTCTTCTTTTTTTTGAGGTACCAGGGATTGAACTCAGGACCTTGTGCTTGCCAGGCAAGTGTTTATTCTACTGAGCTGTCTCCCCAGCCCAAGACTGCTTTTTAATGTTTTTTTTAATTTCTTTTTTTTTTTGCCTTACTGCCTGGTGCAGGACCCCCCAGCCGGGCAGTGAGGGCAGCTGTTGTCTGGCTCTTGACCCTAGGAGTGGGTTCAGCCCTGTGTTTAATATGCGTAATGTTGGCTGTAGTTTTTCATAGATGACCTTTCTCTGGCTTCAGAAGTTTCTGTTTTCCTACTTTGTTGAAAACTTTTATCATGAGTGGTTGTTGATTTTTATGAAATG